TTTATGTTCTAATATCCACGCAAGGAACATGTTATAACCATATGGAGAATAGAGTTTAGCCCTGAGACGATTGTGAGCTACTTTATTTGCACATGAAATTTAGGTTTTGAAACCAGATGACTTTTCAGCTTTAGGAAGAGCTTTCTGCTTCTTATTGGAGGACTGTTATGGAGGCTGAGGCTGGAGCCTGTTTCAAATACAGTGAGGCATTATGATCCCAACTCTTAGTGAAAGCCTAAATTAGTCAATTCTTTGACCATTATTCTTCTGTGGAAACATGTCATTTTCTTTATTTCATCCATCGGCCTTACTATTTGAGCCTCTGGTCAACTAGGGATGTCAGCACCATATTTTAGAAAGAAGACAAAAATATCAGAGATTTCCTTCTCCAAAGACTGTACCTAACACTGCTCCTTTCACGACCTTCCTGAAGTCATTAGGATGTGCCACACAACACTTGCTCCCAGGGGACACTGAAATGTATCAGAACGCATTTCACTAACTTCAGAACCTTGAAGCCTATGCTGAATTTTTGTCTCCATTTGCTCTTTTACCACTATTATCCATAAACATATAGAAACTAATTAAATTTATAAAACGAGACAAAATATATTATAGAGAATACCTCATCCTTTATTCAATACCTGTGGCAAATTAAAATCCAAGAAATAAAGACTCTTTCCCTTTCTAAACTAAGAAAAATTATCTCCCCACTCTTTTATTTACTTCTGTTTCAGCCACAAAGATCCCAATCCGATGGAGCTAGCACGTTCTAGTAGTAGGTTCCCCCTGGGCCATGTTTCCCCAACGGCACCCAGCAGGTGTAACCCATCAGCATTTTATTAGCAGGTGATTTAACCCAACTCTGATGTTCTTATGTTTTCCTTTTACCAGAGAGCATGACAGAATGTATCTCAAGCCAAATAATGTTCCTCACATTCATATTGTTATTCCAATAATAAAAAAAAATTAGTAGGATTGTAGTATTATCTCGGGGAACAAGAGAATAACCTAGAAAATATGAAAGATTGGTTTTAGCTTTTCAAGGATGCCAGTTAGCCTACAGATACTTTTCGGAGTTTATATTAGACTCACATTAAGAAAAAACTAACTTCTGACAGTTGTAACTTCATACTTTTTTATGATGGAATTTTGTTTTAATCATGGAGTAAACTATGTATATTCCTCTCTCATATAGTGACATATAAGACACTGCTCTCATCTTACAAATTTTAGAAATTTGTAAACTCTTAGAAATAAGCAATGAAGATATTTTAAAATGCTCATTAGTAACTAAATACAGCACCTCTAGGATTCAGGCCTTTTCTTAGGTTCTTATTATTACATGTTCATCCTTCATATTTAAAACAATTTAACTTCTATATTGGTTTGAATTATATGTTCTAGACATTCCCATGTTTAGTAAACTTTAGGCCCTTTCTAAGTATATAACATCTACTCTGTTTTATTAACAGTGTTCAACAAATTTATAATAGGCAAATCTTCTACTGAAATTAATAGCCTTGAATTTTCAATGCTCCCAAGCCCTGACTCCTATTTCTGTATATTTCTGTTTCTAAGAAAATCTCCTTTAGCCCTGTAGTATAGTGGCCCCAGATATTTTCGAGTCAGTAGTTCCTTAGGATAGTCATTTCCAAACATTCTTGCACATTACAATGACCTAGGAAGCTTTAAAAAATACTGATGCCTTGGTTGCATGCCATACCAACCAAAGTAGGTGAGAATCAGGTATGTATATTTTGTAAAGATCCCCAGGTGATTTCAATGTGCAGCACAGAATTTAAAGGACTTTGAAATCTAGACTTTATTTTTAAATAATTTTATTGATTTTTCCTCTACCTTAATGCAGCAAGATAAATAGCCATCTAGAGAATAGGTTGAAAAGCAAATTAAGATGAAAATCATGAACCAGTAATCAAATAAATGTAAATTGCAACCTCAAATGATATTTTAGACCATTCTAACTAATGAAATAGTTTTTAAAAAAATATTGGAACAAATGAAACATCCTAGTTATTTTCAGAAAGAAAAACAGGTCATCTATAAAATGGCTTTGGACTTTTCAATGGCAATGTTGAAAAATAGAAAATAATGAAAAATTATCTTCAAAATTCACAAGAAAAAAACATTTCCAGCCTAAAAGTTTCTACTAGCTATACATTAAGTGTGAATGCAAAATGACAACAACAACAACAACAAAAACAGACATTTATGGACAGGGACTCTCTCAAAAGCTTCATAACCTTATGCAGCATTTGTCAAAATATTGCTGAAGCGTATGTTCCACTAAAATGAAGAAATGAACCAAGAAAGAAGTGTGGGACCATGAAAGAGGATCCCATAACAGAAAGCTATGGAAGTAATTCCTAGCATGATTGGGAGGTCATAGAACGATTGCTTTGAACCAGAGCAAAACATTCTCATTACATTCCTCTGTAAATCCAGAGGAAGGTAAAGTTCATAGAGCAACTGATGGATCTGTATATACTGAATCAAAATTTAGACATTTCAGTGCTTGTCGATAAGTTAATGATTCAAGTGAAGAAAGCTATGTGAAATATTATACATGAAACAATTGCCAATCTCAGGAAAATTTTCTGCAGGAAAGGAAAAAGTAAGCATAATATACTCTATTTTTTGGCTTGGGTAAATATCTACCTTGTCATATTAATGTAAAAAGTGACTATTGAGCTAACAAAAAAGACCACGCCTTTTTTCATATAGAAATATTGGATAATGGGAGTACAGAAAAAAAGGCTTATATTAGTAGAGGTAGGGATGATGTATGTAAAAAGGCTAAAGCTTCTTCATCTTTGTGGGCATCAGAAGATGTGACTAAAAGAAAAAACATATTATGTGGAGAAACTGAGGTAAATATCCAAAGAATTGATTAAATGAATTGAAATAATTATCTCTGAAAAGAGAGAAACAGAAATAAGACAAGGGGATACTAGGCATTTTTGTAGCAAACCTTGTAAAATCAATTTACTCAAAAATTATACTCAGGTTGAAAAAAAGAAAGAAATTGGCTTAGATATCAGTTTCTGTATATGGTGTTCCCTGACTAACTTAGGTAAAGTGTAACTCAGATAGAGCTATTTTAGCCCCTAGCCAAAATATTTTTATATTTCTATTTATGTAGGTGTCTGCCTAATAACAAAGTTTGTGGCCAGATAATGAAATGTTTTGAATGTCATGTAAACAAGATGGTGGGAAAAGAATGATTTTTAGAATCAGAGCAATGGTTCACATTCTAAATACAAGCATCTTATGTAGGCTCACTGTGCTTTAATTCCCTAAAGCATAAATGATGGACTATTACCTTCTCTGAGTTACTATGGGTTAAATACCTATGAATAAGCTAATGTTGTAAGCAAGAAACTTACAACAATTCACCGATTTCTGCTCCTCCTTCTCTGCTAGATGATAATCTCTTTGTGTCTTCTTCAGTTTTGTGTGCAAAGGTTTTGGGTATTTAGTAAAGGAATGAATAAATGGGACTTATGAAAATGAAAATCCTTGGCTTTATGATGAATACTAAATTTGGCATTAATAAGAAATTTCCAGAATGGAGGAATGAGAAACTCAATAAGTTCACTTCTCCAGAAAAGCAACAAAAACACTGGCAACATTATCAAGATTAACCGTTAGAACTCTTAAAATTGATTGAAAGCTTACAACAACCTTAACAGTGTTTATTCAAGAAAAACTGATGAATTTCTGTAAGAGCAGAAGGCATATTAAGTTGGCCTACCTTCCCAGTTCCACAGCAGCCTTGCAATCCTGTCGCCTCTAAACAGTAGAAGTTGTAAAACCACCAGAAGCTGGCTAATCAGGTTTGGAGTTCCTCAGAAGGTCCATCCCCAGAGCTTTGTCGCTATTCTGCCTGTCTGGTAGCTCCCGAGAAAAGCCTCGCTCAAAGGGCTTTCCATTATTTGACTTGACTGAGAACTCAGTTGGTGGGAAAAATTTCTATCTCTAGGGCATTTGTGGAAAATAATGAGAAGATTGTTTAACATGGTATCTGCCTAAGGCTGTGACACTAGTTGGGGCAAGTAAGAGCCTAAATAAAAATTATAAAGGACCTGGAAAATTCGATGTTCTTAGGCAGTTCTGAAAAGCTCTAACATATCTTTACAATCTGGAGTTTACATATGCATATAGGGCTTTGTGCATGCCCAAGGAAGTCCTCAGAGAGTCCCAGTATCTCACCTCTGGTGGACCTCAGGTCCTGTGCAAGCAGGAAGTGAAGGGTAAGGTAGAGTTGTAAACTAACTGAGCACTGAAGACATGTCCCCAAACCCATGGAAGACCCTTGGCAAGAGTGGAAGATTTATTGGCTCAATGCCTTAAAGAAATCTCTAACCAAATATTAGTTTACCACTAAACTCACTAAACAGAGGTTTCAGTGGCTGTGTACTCTAGGGAAATGAAAACTTTACCATATTGGTCCAGGTAAGTCACTAAAGAAGAAACAACAACTGCGAGAAAAACCAGCAACCACAGACTGTGGGTTGGAGGTGGGAAGACTTGGTTTCCAGAGTTGCTATCTATTCAATTTTCAACAGAAAAATATGAGACATGCAAACAAATAGAAAAGCATAGCCCATGCAGTGGGGAAAAGATCAATAGACACTATCCCTGAAGGAGCTTAGATATTGGACTTACTGCATCAGGCATTTACAGAGCCATTAGAGACATCTAGATTTTAAAAACTAAGACCAAGAGAGGTAAAAAAAAAAATGATCAGCATCAGTGTTCCTTGTGAACCTTGTGATTCTCAATACATATTGTTGTGTGGAATTATTGCTTCAATTGTGAGCATCTCTTTGTGTGTATATGTATGTGTGTGTGTGTATGTATATATATATATTTATATTAGTGTGTGTGTAACACACAAATAATGGGATGCAAGGAATTATTTGAAAATGTTTTAGATAAGTCTCTAAACAGCCCTTATGTTTTAATCTCTTTTTCAGGCCCTCCAGTTAATGTCACATGCAACATATTCATCAACAGCTTTGGCTCTATCGCAGAGACGACCATGGTAGGCATTTTACTTTGTAACAAGTTTCACACTAGAGTAATCTATAATTACATTAATGGCAACATTTTATGTAGTTTAAAACCCAAATTAATATAACAAGATTTCAAAAGATAAAATAATAGTATAATTAAATTACAGTCACCTGCAGGTAATAACATTTCAGTTAGAGATGGTATATTAGAGTATATAAATATAAGCAAAAACAACATTGATTTTCTCAATTCGACAATCTAATATTAAACTTCAAATTAAAGCTAATATGTCATTGTAGCAATTATTTTTTCCAATAATCTTTAATATCCAGATGTAAACAGAATAGTAAATACTTACATGGTTACTCTGTACCCCACTTACACATTTTTTAAAAGTTATTTTAAATATTCAATTTGATTACTTTTTCAAATGAATACAGTATTTGCCAAAACTTTATACTTAGAAATTTTATCAACAGTATTTGAAGACATTTTATATAATCAAGTTATTAAAGCCAGAAAAACAGAAAAGTTGTCATTACAGACCAAATTTCTTCTGCCTTAAATTTTAAAGCTTTTTCTAAAGAGCACATGGTATCTCGACTTTGCCCTTTAGCTTTTATTGGGCAATTTAACAGTAATAAAATGCAGAAATAGACACATGAACCACTGAACATCTATAAAATTGTCTATCAGCCAATTTACTTTTTTTGAAACTGTGTAGATGATGATTCTTAAATTAGCTAGAATTATCTTTTTAAATTTAGTAAGTATAGCTTACAATACTTCTCAAAGTTAATATTAACTAAAATATGATATAAAACACAGGGATTTATTAGTTTAAAAAAACAATATTAGATAATTACATTCACTTTACTTAGAATAGTAAACAGTAAATTTTCTAAGGAAAAACAATCTAATATGCAAATTATTACATATATGATGGTGTAAGTGTGTGTAGAGGTGTGTGTGAGTGTGTGTTGGAATCCATCTCAACAGGAAGAGGCTTTATACAGGCATATTTAAAAAAAAAAAAAAAAGCTGTTTCCCTCATGTATGCAAGGTAAGTCTTTTACCAGCATCTCTGTGGTTCTATTCAAAGTTAGTATAGCTTAACTACAATAAAGCATTTGTGGAGAAGAACCGAACTATATAGAATTATCTTCAATACGATACAATCTAAGTTAACACGAATGTGTATATATGAGTGTAAATGCAGAGAAGATGCATGTAATTTGGTTAGAAACAGTGCGATTCTGGTGCAATTTCTTCTCTCAGTGGCTATAATCCTGTTTTAGATTTTGATATATTCTAGATTCGTGTGGAAAATTTGGCCCTGATTTATATCCAACATTTGTACATATTCAGTCCATATAATCCACAGATGAAAGAATCACTATTGGTTTTGTTCTATTTAGGCTTCTCAAATTGTATTTCTAGACCTGACGATTTTCTCATTTTGTTTCTATACATATATAATCCTAAAAACCTGGAAATATACTTCTCTATATTTTTCTTTTCCATGATGGCTTCCATGAAATACTTCCCACAGCAATAGTTGGACAGATTTAAAGTCTTACCCATCTTTATGGGGTAGGGAGGGAAGAGATTTGGAAAAAAACAGAGGGCAAAGGCAGATTTCCTTCCCATCAAGACTTAAAGATTGCCAGTTTTCTGAAAGTGCCTTTTTTGTGACATAATTCATGAGTCTACCACTAGAACGGTTATAACACAATCTATAAGATGCCTACACCAGTTAAATTTCTTACCTTAATAATTTTAGCCAGACTTTACAGAATAGCATTCTACAAAAAGCTTGCAGAATATGGCAAACTCACTCTCATGATAACAGTTTTATTTCCCTCCTTCAGCGTGCAAGCCTTTTCTCACCTACGTACTCCATCATTATATATTCCTTCTGAAATAACTTTAAGCATCTATCACTCACCTCTTCACAGTCTAAAACAGTGTCAACGAACATTGTTCAAATATCCCAGAAGTTAAGTATTACAAACCTAATCATGTCCACCTTGGTATTTTTCTTTTTATTCTTCCAAATTTCTAAACATGTATTATTTCCATTAAAATGATCAGATTCAATATTTATTATTTTTTAATGGTATCATCTAGAATAGCTGTGATTTCGATGTTCATCTATATAGGCACAAACAAAATTAGAACTTGTTTGTATATTTTTATCATAAGAATCATAAAATGTTTTGCTCCCACTTGGTTAAGTTGTTGTATTTTATTCACATGGTCCACTATCACGACTCTACAACAAAACTTTATCTCATTATTCTATTGGTGTCTTTTTTTTAAATTCAGTACAAATGCTAATATATGTGTTAATGTATTTTTTAAACTTATTCACACTTCTTACACTGAGTATAGTTTACTTCTGTATTCTTTTTTTTTCTTTTTTTTTGAGACGGAGTCTCACTCTGTGGCACAGGCTGACTTCTGTTCTTATAATACGAATAATTGAATTCAACTAAGGCAGTCAATTAAAATGGAGAGGATGGAATCTCAAATTATCTGTAATCATTAATGAATATATTTATGTCTGAGAATTCATATTTAAAATAAAACTACATAATTATCCTCATCCATATGTGTCTGCTTAACAAGACTAAGCCTTCAATGTCTTTACTGGCTAAATATATTGAGCTCCCTCTGCTGGTCTAGTCTATAACTGGTATGTCTCACTTTTAAATACAGCTCTCCCATTTCAGGTTATTGTTTAATTCTTGGGAAAATTTCTCTAGTAGATATTCTACATTTTAGGCCACTTTTTGTTAACTAAGTTAATTCAAACAATGTATTTTTCATACTTTTCTTGCACAAATTTAAAAAAAATGCATGTGCAGTTTTTTAACAATATAAAATTTCTTTTTAGCTGTTAAATTCCTTAGCCAATACTGTTAATCTGATTAATTTCATGTAGTGCCAACCATTTTCACCTGAGTACATTTTCACTATTTTACACATAGTCACCACATTTTTTTCTATAAATATTATGAGAATTTTAACTTCTCTATTTCCCTCATATTTGAGTCATATAATGAGATTCTTTAAGGACTTGTTCAGCCTCAATTATTTCAAGTTCACATTCTTCTTAAACAGGTAACGATTTAACAGTTCTCAAAAATATTAAATTAAAAATAAAACTAGTTTATCATCACTGCTGTTTGGGAACATGGTCTTCGTGAGAGAGGAATATTTGTCCTGCCTTTTAAACTATGGTGACAAAAGGAGCACATGACTATTTCAATGAGGGGAAGCTTAAGATCTCCACATGAAATGGCTCTCATACGAAGTGTGCTCCTGCAAACCTATGTTGAGCTGTGGATAAGGCTTATGTGCCAGGATGAAAGCATTTGTTAAGTTGGGCTTAACAATGCAAGGAAATGCAAATGCAAGGAAAACCCTTAAGCAAAGGTTTTCTTTGGAAATATACACAAAAACCAAATTGTAATTTGGAGCATACACACAGACCTGGTCGGTCTTCAGGGTGTCCACAGAAGAAAAGATTGGGGTTTTATTGGTTAAGAGAAACGTTTTGTAAAATGTTTTGAAAGTTCATTGGCCTGGAGAAGTATTTCCAGCTCTGGCAAGCTGTAATTGTTGAGTGACAGTGGTAGGTAAAACTAATCTTGGTGGAAGGTAAAACTAATCTTAGAGGCATGGAAGGTAAAACTAATCTTAGAGGCATGGAAGGTAGTTTCAGCAATCACTAGGTAAAATGGGTTTTAAGATTATAGCAAGTTATTTCTGCCGCTGGGCTTGCCAGACAGTTCCTGGAGCAGGAGCTTTGTGAACTGAGTGCTTTTTCCCCATGGTCCTTAACTCCCATCTAGTTGGGTATGACTGTAAAAATCCGAAGTCATATCATCAATTTTCATAATTCAGACAATGGAATATTATATAGCAACAACATGGATATTTCTCATAAACATAATTATGAGCTAAAGAAAATAGACACAATAGAACATGTGTTCGAATATGAGCTAAAGAAAACAGACACAATAGAATATGTGTTTACTTTCATTTATACGAAGTTCAATAACATGAAATAATCAATTCTGTTGATAAAAGACTTCTGAATTCTAAAAGATTATCTTTGGTTGGGGGTGTGAATTGGCTGGTAACTGATGGTGAGGAGGTACTACGGAGCCTTCTGGGTACCAAAATTGTTCTATATTTTGATATGGGTAGTAGTAACACAGGTCTATACATATGTCAGAATTATTGAATGGACACTGCAGACTTGTGTATGTTATGAATGGCTGTTGTATCTTAATTCAAAACATTATTTAAAAGTAAACAAAAACCTTCACAAATTTAAAATTTAACACACCAAATGTGTCACGCAGAGCATGTCTATTCAGTGATCGCAGGTGAGAACGTTAGAAGTTAGACAAAAAGCTTTAAATGAAAGTTTTTATTCTTCACCAGAAACAGTCTGCAGGACTATGAATGTCTAGAGCATGAATATGTGATTTCTCTAACCCTGTGCCTTCCAGTACTTAAAATACCTAGTTATAAGGACCAAAAATGAATCATATTGAAGAAAAATATCACTGAGATGATAAGCAGCTTCCATGATGTAGGTAAAAGGGAATTCCATTTGACGTGGTCTGGGGATTGGGGCTGGCTATAGGTAGCCCAAATGTTCTCAGCTAACTGTTAAACTTTAAGAAAAACTCCAAAATAGAAACATGTATATATATACATACACACTGCGAAGCATAACTATGACAGAAGCAAGTAAGAAATGCCCATCACAGAGGCACCTTATGGGACTGGCTAAACCCATGATGACATTAAAAGTCCATGACTTATTTTAAAATTTGAAAAAGAGAGAAAACAATCACCCATAATGCCCCCACACAAACCCAGCACTGTTAGTATTTAGCTGCATTTATATTTACTTCTAAATGTTTTGACTGCACATATTTTTACATGGTTTATACATTCATTCATTCAATGAATCTTTTTGTGAGAGCATATAATGAACCAAACATT